TAGATTTCTTCAAGGAGGACACCAAAAGCTTTGTAAGAGCCAGAGAGTTTGGCTCTCCACTAAAAACTTGCCCTTACGTGTTGAGTCCCGCAAACTCTCCATCATATGGCGAGCAGAGCTCTTGACAGCATAGAGTTCCCATTCAAAAGGGAATCAAGATGTTAATAATATTCTGGAAATAGGGTCCTTGCTGATTATGTGTTTGTTTGGGAATAAAGGCCAATGTAGTTTAATCCACAGCATGCACACCTCAACATTACCCTATTTTACGATATAGAATAAGACAAAAACCTTCCTGAGTCTTCTTTGCATACATTACACATGTCATTTTTACATATGCCCCAACAGTGAGTTATGATTATTTCTCTAGATATCAAATGAGAAATGTTAATAAGCTATCAAAGCATATAATACAAATGACAAAATAAATCAACAGAAAAATATACTAAACACATAACACTGGAAAATATGCAAACAAGTTTTTAAAGGGGTCATATGATGCGATTTCAAATGTTCCTTTCTCTTTGGAGTGTTACAAGCTGTTCGTGAATAGATAAGATCCCTAAAGTTGCAAAGACTAACGTCTCAAACCCAAAGAGATATTCTTTATAGAAGTTAAGACTCGTCCACGCACTCCTAAAACGCCTCGTTCAAACATTTCTACGTCACGATGAGGGAAGATTTACATAACGCTGCCCAAATGTTCACGAAGGCGTAACTTTATTGTTGCTGCCACCGCCGCCGCCGCCATGTTGTGAAGACGCTGTGTGTTTCATTGCGAAAGTGAAAATACTTTGTTTAGCCTTCCAAAAGATGACACGACTATAAATCAGTGGTTAAGTTGTATTTACAACACTGTTCCAGAACAGTTCAAACCAAATATTCAGATGTGTGCAGCGCATTTTATGAACCTTAAACCGCATAAACACATTTCATTACACCAAATACACAAAACAATGTTCTTTTTAGCAACATCATATGACCCCTTTAATTATTAATTTAGTTTCAAAACACCCAACATTCATATTCATGCATGAATATGACTCCAGTCATAGTTACGTTTAGTACTTTAATCATTTTTGTTTAGTTTCTGACTTCGCTAATCATTACTTAGAGTAAGTGAAGCGTTAAGTTTCTCTGGATCATCTTTGAGATGTTTCTACATATTGATTGGAGTAAATCTGTGGTAAATTCAATTGATTGGACATACGTCGGAAAGACACACACCTGTCTATACAGGTCTAACAGCTGAGAATGCGTATCAGAGCAAAAATGAGGACAGAGGTAAGAGAGATGACCAAGACCCTGATGGTCACTCTGGTTGAGCTCCAGAGATCATGTGTGAAGATGGGGAGAAACTTGCAGAAGTACAACCATCACTGCATCATCTGAGCTTTATGGCAGAGTGATCAGATGCAAGCCTCTCCTCAGTGCATGACACATGGAAGCCTATGTGAAAAAACCTAAAGCACCTAAAGGACTCTTAGAATGTTAGACACAAGATTCTGTGGTCAGATGAACCTCAATTCCAGTTGCTCCATTCTCTTCACCTGCGTTGTGGTGGAAGCATCATGTTTTGGGGGTTTTCAGGGACTGCGGTACTGGTCAGGAAAGAAGGAAAGCTGAATGCATCAGAGATATCCTTAATGCAAACCTGCTCCAGAGTTCTCAGACTGGGTTGGAGGTTCACCTTTCAAAATAACAGTGATCCTAAACACACAGGCAAGACGATGCAAGAGTGGCTTAGGGACAAATGTCCTCGAGTGGCCTTGCCAGAGCCCAGACTTGAACCCAATCAAACATTTCTGGATGATTTTTACCATCACTCATCTCCTATTTCTGCCCGTCCTTGGCTCTTGAACTGATAGAAAAGTAAGTTGACTACTAGTTTGGATATCAGACAAACTTGCTGTTGACTGGTGGATACAACATCCTGGTGTGTCGGCCGGATCTGACATTTGGAAGTGGAATGGAGATGGTTTTAGGGAAACTAGTGACACCAGAATAGATGATGGGCTAAAATATCCATCCATCCACTCTTCATGCTGCTTGTCTTCTAGGGACATGAGGATGCGGGAAGGGTAAAATGTGTCAGCTTTAAAAGAAAGCTTACATGATTTGAAGGTAAAGAGAAAGTTGTGAAAAAAAGACAAAGTATGTTGGTTCTTAATCAGGAATGTCAAACTCAGTTCCTGGAGGGCCACAGTCAGTATTTAGTTCCAACCCTGCTCCAACACACATACCTGTAGTTTTCAAATCAGCCTGAAGGACTTGATTAGATGGATCAGGTACATTTAATTAAGATTGAAGCTAAACTCTCTAGGACTGTGGCTCTCCAGGAACTGAGTTTGTCACCCCTGTTCTAAATGCTTGGTTTATGATGGTTAAGGCAAGTATAAGGGTTATAAAGGGAATGACTGGGCCTTCTGAAAGGATTTTTCTCTGTCCAAGATCATTTCTGCAGATGATGGTAAAAGTCTGAACACAGCCTTAAGGATGCTTGTTGTGTGGTGAGCACATGACTATATTGTCTAAGTGAGATATTTGCAGATATTATTGTGTAAATTCTATTATATATTATGTTATTTACTCAGTATGGTATTATCTTACTTAAAATATGATGAATGGTCATGAAAATAATCAATATACTGATTAATATGCTTGAGTTATTCCAATACTGGATGTCCTAATGTAGAATGTAAGTCTGAGGGCCTATCCATTGGGCAATACTGGTGATTTCCATTGGATTGTACCAAGTGAACTTAAATAACCCAAATAGTTTGTTCCACGACAAATTGGCGTCACGAACAGGATTCGCTTGGAGTCCAGCGTCCACGAGAGCCGTCGCGGGCGGAGGGCCTGACGGCCACGCAAACTGATCAAAAACAAAGGCGCCTAAAAAAGGTAAACAATTTTTTGCTTAAATTGGAAATAAGATTGTTTTTGTGGTTGGCTGGGGTCACGCCTGTGATGGTAATCTGAGACAGGGCTTCACCAATAAACGAATCTAAGTTATTGGATTTAAACTAAATTAAAGTAAAGTAAATGTAAAAGTAAGAGAGAATTAAGGAGTTCCAGATTTTAAAAGTCGCGCAGGTATTGGATTTGAACTAAATTAAGTAAAGTAAATGCAGAAGTGGAGAGAAATTAAGGAGTTCCAGATTTTAAAAGCCGTGCATGCGAAAAAAGATAAAGAGATATATATGCATAAAGAGTTTAAAGTGCCTAAGAGGGGCATAAATCCCGTATCAGCGACTTCCTAAGGTCACGCCAAGGAAAATCAGGGAGCCGCTCGTGGTTGGTTGAGCGTGGCCCTGATGGGTCCCCACGGCGGAAGGGCTGCGTGATCGGGTGTCTGCAGACTGGAAAGAGTTAAACTGTTAGTCTTTGTCTGTCCATTGAATGTTGAGAGAGAATTGTGTGTGTGTGCGTGCTGCGTGCTGGATACATTACTGTAAGCACTGATTGCTTGGCTGAGATACTAACCACATTAACTATACTGGGCTTTGCATGAAGCTAAATGTGCTGATTTTATATGTTTTATGTGACTGTTTATGATTGCAATGGTATGAAAAACCAGTGTGAACAATTGTAAAATAATAAAGAAGGCAATAAGATGGTGATTGGAAAGTAAAGAGTGTATAAAGATAATTATAAGAGTTGAAAGAACAAAGAATATTTCAAACAACTGGCTTTGTCGGGTGTTTGGACATCATCCAATTTACCGACGCTGTGATTCAAATTGTGAAACACAATTATTGATAAAGAAAAAGTAAAAAGTGACTGGTTTTTCGTTCCTAGAGTGAGAGAGAGACAGAGAGAGAGAAACCAAGGCTGGTTGGTGTTTCTCTCATCTGATCTGTGTGTGCATGACAGGGAGTGGAAGCACTGAGTGGGAGTGAAGGAGCAGCTGTGGGTGTGCAAGCGAGGAACCTCTGTGTGTGTGAGAGAGAGAGAGCGCGAGCATGTAGGTGTGCCTGAATGCATTTGTGTGTGCACACACATGTGAGAGTGAGAACCTGTATGTTGGTCTGACTTTATGAGTGTGTGTGACAGAGAACAAAGGGAAAGTGATGTATGGGTGTGTGTATGCATGTGTTTGTGATAGCGAGATAGCGAGAGAGAGAGTTTAGTATTAAGAAATTACAATTACACAGAAACATTATTATTAAGTAAAAAACTAATTTCTAAAAAAGATCTTATTTAATTAGGAAATTCATGAAATATAAGGATAATAATAATAATAAAAATAATGATATATATATTTTCACCATGTAAAGTGGGTCTGGGGTCTATGTTATACCCCAAGCATACCATACATAAGGGTTACATAAGGGTTAGTGTAAATGAGACAGGGAGTGCACTGGCATTACATATAACCAGCAGGATACTAAGCCTACTGATGATGATGATTGTGTTGAGAAGTAGACCATTACACATGGACAGAAATTGGTAGAAATCCACCAACATTAAGAAATAGAATAGCAGATGTTGAGATCATTGAATAATTGATTTAAGTAGAAAAAAAAGGAAAAAATGGGTGATGAAATTGTTGTTAATAAGAAAAAGAAAAGAAGGGAAAGAAGGGGCAGACAAATTCTATCAATACAAGAAAAAATATTATTAATTGACTTTATGGAACCATTAAACTTAAAATATTGTTTGAAAGATGAATTGAACATTGGAATATTCAGGATAGGAGGGTTTTGCATAGAGTTAACCCCATCTTTCAATTACTCAATATGGGAAGGAGGAGTGACGGCTACAGGTCGCAAATTTCATTTGAGGAGGCTGTGGAGTTTTTAGGCATTTAGCTTGGGAGAAAACATAATTTGGACAAAAAGCAATTTGCAATGGAAAGAACCAAAAGGCCTTGTGTTACCTTTCAAATTATTAACCAGAAAACACATTGTGATTATTTTAAAATATTTGAGGCAATCTAATCAACTTCTATAAAAGGTGATAAGTCCTCCACCCAGCAAAAATCCAGGTGGTGCTGGGATTAGAGAGGTGAATCACTGAAGGGAAAATAATAATAATAATAGTTCATTGTGTTGAGCAGATTGATAACTCAAATTTCAAGAAGATGTCAACTCCAGTAGAATTATTAGCTTTTAAAAATCCAGCCTGTAAGGAAGCAATAAGGGAGCTCTCGAAAAGGTGGGCAGAGAGAACAAAGAAATTGGCTACTAAGTGGCCGGCAGAGGGAACATTTGATGTGGCAATGTGTAAAGAAATGGAGGGCCTGTTAAAAAATTACAAGACCAATGACAAATCCAAAAAGAGAAATGAAAAAAGAGAACAAGAATTAGGGGTACTGACCCTGTTCAAACAACATGGAATTCAATTATTAAAATTGGAGAAACAAGAAAGAGAGAATAAAAAGAATGAAATAAAAGAAGAAAGGCCGCCTCCATATGCTCCTTCCTGCGATCAAGCTGTTAATCAGATGCCTTTACAGGGCAGGGAAAAATAGATTTAAAGGGGGCAGTAGAATTTGAGGGCTATGTACAAGATGTAAATACAGCTGTTGAAATAGATGAGCAGATCTGCAGAAGTGAATTGAGGGGAATGGCAGACAACAGGGGAGAGAGAGACACACACACAGCCACAAGGGAGAGGCTGGAGCTACAAGAGGAGGGGCTGAGAACATCAACACCAAAGACTCAAGCAAAACACAGAGAACGAGAGAGAACAGCCCACAGGGTGGAGCCAAGGATTGAAAGATTGAAAGAGGAGGGGCCAAGAACTACAGAGAGGAGGAGAGAACAGGTGAGCCACTTGCATATCATAGTCTTTCAGCAATACTCAAAGAAATGGGAGACCGCCACAAACACCAGACATCAGCTAGTGGGGACATGCAGGACTATCAAGCAGAGGGACTTTTTGAAGATACACCTGAAGGAACAGTGACATCTGCTGACTCCGTCCAGGAAGCACTGGATGAGATGGAGGATAGGTGCAACAGAACAAGAGATAATCTCAAACAAGCTGTCCACATGACAAGAGAAGATTTCACACAGGTTGTGGACTCATTGCAACAGGAGCTGGATGAACTAATGAGCAAACGTGAACTAAAGCAACTACACCCAAGCCCACATGATTATGTCCCGCGGAAGCAATACAAGCAAGTAGCTGGGAAACTGGTTATGCAAGACATAGAATATCCAGATGACCAGTTTCAAGTTCTCCAAACTCAAAGACGAAGAGGAGGAGAAGAACACAGATCAACAAGGACATCAAGAAGGGCAGAAGCCCCAAGATTTGAGTGCCCAATTCTCATCAAGCAAGGCCAAGGCCAATACATACCCTGGGCAAGTCAAGATCTGGACACTGTGGTTTCCCGTCTTCCAGACATTCATGAAGGTGCTGGAAAATGGATCAGAACATTTAAAGAAGAAACAACTAGAAAACTTCTGGCCTTGGGTGACATCAAAGCCCTGCTTGCTAAGTACCTGGGAGCATCCAAGATGAATGACATCCTCAAGCAGCCTGGCCCCCTTGAAGCAGTGGACAGGCCTCAAGCAGATGGAGTCTCCTTTGACAAACATCAACGTGACATCTGGACGACTGAGAGTTGAATACCCAATGCAAACTGATCCAAGTTTCCTGAAGGGGGAGCCAATGGGGGAGACTGAGAATCCCACCACCTACATTCAGAGACAACTAAGACGTTGGAAAGAAGAACTGGAAAGAGATCCTGAGCAAGACAAAGTACTGACAGCACTCTTCAGGACCGCCATTGTGGAAGCCATGCCTGCAGCAGTGAAAGTGAAGCTGGAGGATGTGGTAGGTCTGAACTCAAAGACACACAAAGAGTTCAGAGACCATGTGGTCCATGCTGTGGAGCAGTACAGAAGACAAGAGCTAAAGATGAAGAGGTTTCCTGAAAGGAGAGCCAATTGGGGAGACTGAGAATCCCACCACCTACATTCAGAGACAAATAAGACGTTGGAAAGAAGGACTGGAAAGAGATCCAGAGAAAGACAAAGTACTGATAGCACTCTTCGGGACCGCCATTGTGGAAGCCATGCCTGCAACAGTGAAAGTGAAGCTGGAGGATGTGGTAGGTCTGAATTCCAAATCACACAAAGAGTTCAGAGACCATGTGGTCCATTCTGTGGAACAGTACAGAAGACAAGAGCTAAAGATGAAAACCCAAGAAAAAGAGCTGCAAAGAAAACTGACTCAGCTGCAGCTTGAGGAACTGCTCAACAAGAATAAAAAGGTCCAAGCAGTACAGAAGGAAGACCACTCAGCAATGATGGCACCTGTCAATACTTCAGTGCCTGTCAATCCACCTGCAACAATGAATCTGCCTGCACCAACAAATCAGACTGCAACAACACAGGCACCACCTGCTGGAACAGCCAATGCACCACAAGGACCAGCAGCAGTCGTCATCTATCTCAAGTCAGAGCAGCCAAACAACAGAAGCTGGAACAGACAACAACAAGGGCGTGGCAGAGGAAGATTTAACAACAATCAGCAAAACGTTGGTGGCCCACCGGGCTGCAGAACCAACCAATAGCCTCAGGAGTCAACTATGGACAACAGCAAGTGCAACCACAAACCCAAGGTCCTGTCAACCCATGGCGTGGACCTGACCAAGGTTACTAGGGCTGCCCAGAGAATCTTACAGGGAGGAATCAGCTTCCAATGATATCGTGTGATGCTGATCAAGAACCAATGCTGCAAGTTAATATCGAAGGAAAACCCATTACTCTCATGACTCTCATGCGGGCGACACACTCGTGTTTAAATCCAAGATATGCCTCGCACCTCCCCATGTCTGGAAAATCTGGAAAATAAGTAGGATTCTCGGGGACAACTCAGTTACTTCCTATGACAGCCCCTGTGAGCATAAGCCTGAAAAACACTGAAATTAGAATACCAATATTAATCTCAGAACACACACCTGTAAATTTGTTAGGTAGGGATGCCATATGTAAATTAAAAATGCAGATATGGTGTACACCAGAGGGAATTTATATAGATGATAGGGCAATGAGACAAATGAATGTCTCAACATCACAACAAGAACCATGTGCTAACATGTATTGGTTAGGAGATCTAAAAGAAGATGTAGAAAAAACAATTAGCAAATGGGGAAGATATATAAGGGAACAGCTCTGTGAACCAAGCCTACCAAAAACTGAATTTCATTGTACTATGAAGTATGATGAAAACAAAGATCCAGATTTCGAAAAAAGATGGCTAGAAGACACAAAAGGGTTGAAAATTCCCATGATATCACAATACATAATAGTAGGACCAAAAGGTGCAGCTCTGCAGATAGATAGGGAAAAATTAATTGATGACTGGTTTGAAGTGACAAACTCAGTTCCTCATGTTACATTATATGTAAGTGAGAACTGTGTCTCTAAAGACTTAGGCCCCATGATGAAACAAGCAGAAAAAAGCAAGTGGGAAGCCACAGAAAATCCTCTAATTTTCCAATCAGCAGACAAAGAATATCTTAAGATTTTGTGTGCTACTCCAATGATAGGTGTCCCCAGAATGGTCATAAACACAAGAGTTGAGCCAAAAGTTAAAGAACATCAACCAAAGCAAATTGAATTGTTAAAAGACATGGAGAGACAAGTACCATTAGAATTATGGTCTCAACATGATACAGATGTGGGGTTAGTAAAATCAGCTAATCCAATTAGAGTAGTACTTAAACCAGGAGCTAAAGTACCCAGAAAATTGCAATACCCTTTGAAACCAGAAGCAGTAGAGGGAATCAAAAAGACAATTGAGGGACTAATAAAAGCAGGAGTGCTTGTTGAAACTACTAGCTATGGTAACACCCCAATATTGCCAGTAGCTAAAGCTGATAAATCAAAATGGCGTTTGGTGCATGACTTGAGAGCAGTGAATGAGATTGTGGAGGATTGGCCTGCTGAAGTTCCAAACCCGCATACGTTGCTAACCAATGTTCCATCTGCTGCTAATTACTATACTGTAATTGATCTCTGCTCAGCTTTTTTCAGTGTTCCCTTAGCCGAGGAGAGCAGACCTTTGTTCGCATTCACCTACCAAGGTAAAAAACTCACTTACACGAGAATGCCTCAAGGCTTCAAACACTC